TTATATGAATATAAATATATATGCATGTAAATATTTTCTAAATATATGCTGTATGTGAGTGTATGTATATATACATAATAAATATACACAGTACACACATATATTATGCAAACAAAAACTTTCATTTTGGATGCGATTAATCATGATTAATTGTTTGACAGCACTAATATATATAATATATGTATTATTATTATTGTTAACATTATAAAAATAATAATTATTATGATTCATAAACATGAGAAAAACGAATGAAAAACGTATGTCTTCTGACCATTATGTTTTTTATGTTAATAATAATTATAACAGTAATATATATCCGTTTCTGAATTTCTCATAGGTGTTAAATGTGAGTGGCCATGTTGAGATGATTCATGTGCCTGACGTCAGAACATACACTTTTTTTCTTTCCACTGTGGAGGATGTTTGAAGTAACGAAAGGGTTACAGAATGTTTTCATGCTACATTGAACTCTTTTACCTCAAAAGATTGATGAAAATTTGATGCCTCACATTATGACCCCTTTAAGGAGTGAAGCTCCTGTCCGTTCTTGTCCTCATCTGCTCCTCTCTTCTTGTGTTTCCCCTCTCCTCCTAGTTTCACCTCTTTCTCTGTGCACTTGTGTGTCCTTGAAAGTGATAGCTAAGTGTTTGTCTCTCTGTACTCCCTCCCCGGCCTAATGAGGATCAGTGTTGTTTTAAACATGAAATCGGAGTCTCGGCTGAGAGCAATCAATACACAGCCATTACTTCTCTCTGTGATGAAGCAGTCCATCTCTCTCTCTCTTCTCACACACCCGTCTCTTGTCTCAGCGTATTTTCAGGTATCGGATATTGGCTTTAAGGGGGTTATGAATTGTTGGCTCCTAAGGGCATCTCCGTGCGCCACTCTGCCAATTACACCTCTGAATAATGGCCCCCAGGGAGGCGGCTGACATGCCTCAGCTGGAATCTGATACATATATACACCAGAGGATGACCAGACCTGACCAGAACTCTGACTGGACCGGAAATGAGGCCCAGTCAGGTCTGACTGTAAAGACGTCATTGAAATCCAAGTTGAAGAGTGAACTTTTGTTTCAAATCAATTACTCAGCCTTACTATTTACAACCAATTTGACCACTTTTTTTAAGCTGCTACTTTCTGTTGATGTGATCTTACATACTTAAAGTTTATTCTAGCTTTAAGCTGCAGAGTTAACCAACTTTTGTGCTGCTGGTCAGAAGTCTGTGTTCATTTTTCTGTGAGCGTGAACATCTGGCAGACTCTGTACATGCTTCTCTATTAGATCAGTCCAGCATTAGTGGCTCTTGCTCTAGGGTTTGTGATTTAGGCTGAATTTCACAACTGATCACCTCATCCATCGCTCGAGATGCCATCACATGCTTTCAGTGCTTATGTGCAGCGTATCTGCTGTCACTTGCCAAAACAGTGTTTTTATTCATTTTCTTCTGTATTTCTAAAGGTTCTGGGATAGTTGTTTTGTTGCACTACCACTGAAAAGTTTGGCATCGGTAAAACTTTTTGAAATACATCTTTTTGTTTGGTCAAAAATACAGTAATATTGTGAAATTTTTATTACAATTTAAAAGAACTCAAAACTTTTGAGAAGCCTCACAAAACGGGACACATCAATAGCGGAACAAACCACCCTCACGGATGTTTAAACTTTATGGAACTCTTCATTAAATAATTATATTACTGCGGTATAGTTAATTTGTTATATTACAGCAATAAAATGTATAAATATTATTTTATATTAATCGTTCATTGACAAAAGATTGTGGCTGGTAATGCACTCACGCTATGGCTGAATACAGACCGGAGATATTTTATATTTTTGTAAATTTCCTACCGTAAATATATCAAAACTTAATTTTTGATGAGTAATATGAAGAACTTCAAACTTCATTTGGACAACTTTAAAGGTGATTTTCTCAATATTTTGATTTTTTT